CCACCAGCGTGAAGACACACTATTACATGTTTTAGCGTGACATTAAAAATATAGATACTGCTGCCGCCGCAACATAATACTATTATATTTTATTATTATACATGTTGCCGCCACCGACCGATCCACACACACACACACACACACATACAGACATATTTTCCTCATTAATTTTATTTTATATTCAATTGTGGTATCTGTAAATTTTATAATTATGCAAAATATGTATCAGTACATCTGTAGCCGCCACGTCGGCTACAGCATTATTATTTAGCACGGCCGCCGTGAAATTGTCTTGCCAGCGTCGTCATCGAGCGAAGACCAAACGTCCACATTTTTATATATTATTAAGCAATACGTAACTGAACGAAGCGGCCACCAGATATATCTACTTAGTTAATTATTTATATGATCGAAACCTAAAAAAAAACTTTATGTTGTATACATTGGTACCCCCTCCCCCAAACAAATGAGTCCTGATTGCGAAACTGGTCGTATAGTGGAAACAAAAGCTTAGCAAAGCTTAGTTATCAATTGACTAAGGTAGATATATCGTTATAATATTTAGTTATTATGCATTTGATTCTCGCATCAACTTGCTGAGTTTCCATATTTATTCAACGGGGATCAAATAATACCCTAACTATTAATTGAGAATTTCTGATCATTTAAATTTGAACTATAAACATTTTAATTACTAAATAACGAAAACGCTGAGATACTACTTACCTACGCCGTCAAAAGTTTTTAATTTTTGCAATTAGGATTGTCATCAGCTTCATCGAATTCGACGCTTCAAATTCATTTCCAACAAACGTCTAATCACGATTTATCCGAATGAATAGTATTTGTACATTGTGTGGAAACTGACCATAACCAGTATCCTTGGTTGCACATTATTAATTATTTTCAGCCATCAAAAAAATAAATAGTTGTGATCGTATTTTTATTTGTACACAAATCCACGCATATAACAAATTTATAGATATAAATACATTAAATTAAGCATCAAAATTAAGTAAATAGATAATAGGCTTTATAACAGCGTTTTATATTCTAAGCGGAGCGATGAATATATTGATTTTACAATTATGTGCTGTTGTTTTTTGTGTGTACGTCTATACATATACACGGTAAGTCGTCGATAATATGCTTTATTTTTTTTAAATGAAGGACATGTTTCTGGTAGAAAATTGAGTCTAGTATTTTAGAAGATCAAAAGTAAAAAGCTTGTAAAATAATTTAAGGTTAAACTAGAATTTTTAAGCAAATCAAATTTTTGACAACATTAATTTAAATTTTTTATGTGTTACTTGAAAGCAAATAACCTAAAATATTTGCGATTTCTATAAAATTTTTATGTAATCAATTCTATTTACAACACGATTTTGATATTTTTTCGACTTTTTTTTAAACTTTGATAGACATGAGAAATTTTCAATTTTTTTCTTTTAGTTTATTTTTTTTTTAGAAATATTGCTAAGAATAGAAATACTTGAAAATTTTTCTCAACGATTCCCGTAAGTTGTTTATTTTTCAATCTTCAATCAAAAATCTATAATTGCTATATTTTTTTATAAGTGTTTAAAATTAGAATTTCGAGAAATTAGTTAAATTCTCAAAAATGTACAAATTACTTTATAGTTAGAAATACATAAATCCCTAAGTTTTAAAAATTGAATTCAAAGTACTTTATTCGTATTGCGACTTACAAAAAAATAAATAAATAAATATTCTACTAGAAAGACAATTTAAGTTTTGTGGCAGTTGAATTTAAAATTTTTACAACAAAGAATATAATTTATATAATAATATAAACTTCTTCCCACATTATTTTTGTTTTTTGTTGTAATTGAAAAAATAATAACCGCTGATATTTTAAATTTTTATCAAATCATTTAAACTTTTTTTGAGCTATTTATAAGCTTAAGCTATTTTTAATTTTTTTAGTTTTTTTCTTAAAATATCAAATTAAAAATATATGCTGGGTCGAAATTTTTGAAAATTTAATACAAGATCCCATATAAGTTGTTTTCATATCAGTAAAAAGAAAAAAAATATGTGTCATGAATTATACTTAATAATATAGGCTGGCAGATGATCTCCGTTTAGAATCGTTTTTCGTTTAACAAAAAGTTATGTATGTATTTTTTTTTGTTTTTCAACATTGAATTTGTTGGAGATTTGAGTACAGCAGCGCAACTAATTTTGTTGGAGCAAATCGAAAAATGAAGAAACGGAGCGATTTATTTAATTCAGAACAGCATAAAAAAAGGTACAAGAAGCTTTAACAAATGTTGGCGTCCAATAGCCTTTCATTCCTCCACAGTCACCGCATTTTGGTGGACTATGGGAAGCGCCGTTAAGTCTATGAAACATTTATTACAAAAAACTATAGGGGATGCTCATTTACATTTTGAAGAGCTAAGTACTGTGCTTACGCACGCTGAAGCCTGCTTAAATTCCCGACCTATTACTCCTATGTCATCCGATCTAAATGACATATCCTTTTTGACCCCAGGTCATTTCCTTATAGACTCGCTTTTAGCTATACCGGAACCCGACTTGTCAAATACACCGACAAGCCACTTGACGCGATTGCGTAGAGTAAAGGCCTTCCCACACTAAATACGTCGACGTCCGTTGCGATGACGTACGTCTAAAGTATACGTTCAACGCAACGTACACAGGTCCCACACTAAATGCGTTTATTGGTTATCCGTCAGCTAAAAGCTAACTATAAATTATAATTATTTCTATCTAACCAAATCAACTTTTGATTACAAAATGTACAATGTATTACTGGCTTATTACTGCAGTTACCTACTATATTCCTTTATCTGATTGTTTGCTCCATCACCATTGCATGCAAGTCACTACTTTTAGTATTAACACTAAACAGATATTTTTGAATAGGAAAGACGTGTTCTGTGTGTGTCTTAACTTCTTAAGATTTAGTTTATTCAATTAAATTTTTAAAGTAAATATAAATAATAAATAATATAAATATGACGTTATGTACGCGATCTAAACGGCTATTGGCATTGTTATTATTAATAAGAAGAAAGAAAAAATATACATTAAAGAAAACTAGACTTTGGGTACATTCTATGAATCGAACACGATCAGAAAACGGAGAATTCAAAAAATTATGTGTTGAACTTGAATTATATCCAGATCGATATTTCAATACCTTCAGAATGAACAAAGATCAATTCGATATATTATACACACTTTTAAAAAACTCGCTTTCTAAAAATGATACAAATTTTAGAAAAAGTATACCCGCTAAAGTACGACTTGTAGTCACATTAAGGTAAGATACGTATTTATTATTTTATTTTTAATTTATTATACATTAGTTGTAGGTATATAGGTACATTATTTTCTTATTCGGCATAAATCGTATATTAAATATAATTATATAAACATAAAAATTTATTAGAATTAATAGAAGTGTATCCATTAATTTTGCGAAGAATAATGATTATACTCATGAAACCCATTGTCCGCGACCGACATATTACTTTGAGAATAATCCATTGCTGATGATTTTGCTGTGTTAAGAGGAGTTAAAATCGGTGCATAAACAGACGAGTAGGTGGAATGCCCTGAGTTGCTTGAAAAAGGCGAATTTGAATAATTATTTCCAAACTCAACATCAAACAAAACTTGTTGAATTTTTATTTTTGCAATAGCATTTTGTTTTGGTGTCATACGTTTTAATGTCGGAAGATAACTTAATAGAAATTGTTCATCTGCATCATGTTCTTTGGAAATAATATTCAAAATTTGTTCATCAATATTATCTTCTGGTGCTTCATTTTTACGCTTTTTAGTAGCTGAAGAACATTTATTTATACGTAATTTAATGTTATGTTCAATTTGTTCATTGCAACGTTCTGGAGTTGTTGACACTTCATTAATAATATCTGATTCTCTTTCCGGACTGTTAATTCTTTGTTGATTACAGATTTCAGAACATGAATAATTCCCAATAGTCCTATAACATATTAAAAATAACAAACTTATTGATTATTTAAAATAATTTTGATTGTTACGCAAAATAATTTAAAAATTTTAATTAAAAAAAAAAATTATAAACTTACTCTCTAAACTTTATATATGGAATCAAAAATGTCATTTGTGAATAATATGACCATTTCGATTTTTTCCCTCCTCCAGAACCACTAGGTTGCTTTTGACTTTTTTGCATTTTTATAAAAGTATCTCTCAATGACCGCCATCTCTTTTTTACTGTATTGACATCTACAATTTATTATAACATATAAATAAATTATTATGTTTTTATATTGATTGGTTTCCTAATTTACTTTTATTAATTTCGTTTTATAGATATTTAGCAACCGGTGCATCATTTCGGGATTTAGCATACCGATTTCGACTTGGGGAATCAACCGTTAGTAATATTATTAAAGAAACATGTAATGCCATTTCAAGTGTACTCAAACCATTATTTATGCCACAAATTAACACCGAAGAAAGTTGGAATAAAATAGCTCATCAATTTTATTCTAAATGGAATATTCCAAATTGTGTTGGAGCTGTCGACGGAAAGCATGTTTCAGTTTTTTGTCCAAAGAAATCGGGTTCTTTATATTTTAATTATAAAGGTACTTTTTCAATCGTACTTATGGCAGTAGTTGATGCGGATTATAAGTATATTATGACAGATATAGGTGCGTACGGACACAATAGCGATGGTGGTATATTTTCACATAGCAATTTTGGAAAATTGTGGTTGACAGAATAATCGTTCAACTTTAAATGTCCCGAAATTAAAAAAGTTACCAGGTACTGAAATAAGTGTTCCATTAGTTTTAATTGGAGATGAAGCATTTCCATTAAAAGAAAATATATTAAGGCCTTTCCCTGGAAAAAATTTATCAGAACGTGAACGAATAACAAATTATCGAATATCTAGAGCTCGGCGCGTTGTAGAAAATGCTTTTGGCAATACAGTACATAAATGACGAGTGCTTCTTAAAAAAATTGAAGTTAATGCAGCTTTTGCAACAAGTATTACATTGGCATATTGTATTTTTCATAATTTTCTAATTGTTGAAAAAAAAGAAACACCTTATGACATTTCTGAAACGACTGAAACCCACACTACAATAAGTGAAAATCAACAATTACATACAGTCAGATACAATAGACCAACTAAACGTGCAATGGATGTACGAAACCATTTTGCTGATTGGTTTATTTCACCTGCCGGAGAAGTTCCATGGCAGTATGAATATATCAATAAATAATATACTCAATTTGTGTTTTATTAAATATATCAATGAATTAAATATAATTATATAAATATAAGTAGTTAGGTAATAACATTATTATTTTATATATTTGTTTAACTTGTACAATTAAAAATATTATTGACAAACATTCATATATTCATTATACTTATTGACATGCGGATATGCCATACCAAAAAAAAAAAAAAAAAAAATGTAAATAGTTTATTTTATTTTTATTATTTTTATTTTTTTTATTTTTATTTTCATTAAAAATATTAAAAACTTACCGTCATTTTTAAGCTCATTGGATACTTCCTTCCATATTTCTTCTTCATATGTGGCATTCTTATAAGTTCCCAAACTTTTGTCATACAGTACTGGCCTCTTCTCGACTTCAACTATTAGCTGTTCTTCCATATTTAAAAAAATATTTGTAATAATATATATTTTTTAAGGAACTACTGGACCACACTTCTTAAAACTTAAAATGTATATTATGTTCGTATGACACAATATTTTAACTACGTTCAAAGTAACGGACTAAAATAGTTTTGTCCGTAGTCAAAGTATGGGTATCTACTATCTACTGATTATATCATTGGGAATACTGTGTTGATTACAAATTGTGAAGATAAAACTATTTTAAAATATTAATAAAATATGGTTCTATTCGAATGTCGACGCATTCAACTGATAGCAATTTTATATCATACGTCGACGCGCCGGACGGACGTACCCGACTTTTGACGCGTCGTACCTGGTGTGCGGATTCGTATTTGAATACGTTAAATTCAAAAAGAGTACGTTGACGTACGTCATCGCAACGGACATCGACGTATTTAGTGTGGGAAGGCCTTAACGCAATACTCACGAACTATTTAGCAAAAATGGAGTCATGAGTACTTGAATCAGCTCTAAGAGCGAAAAAGGTGGGCTGATACCAAGGGACCTAAGCTGAACGTGGATATCGTAGTTTTAATACAAGAAGATGACGTACTTCCTTTAAAATGGCGCTTAGGGTGAGTTACAAAAATTACTGCTGGTGATAACGGGGTGGTGCGTGTCGCAGAAGTTTGCACATCGACAGGACATGTCACGAGGGCAGTTCGAACATTGCGTCCTCTGACATTTAAAGGAAATAATGTGGATTAAATTTTGTATTTAAAATTGTCTTTATTTATTTATTTATTTCTTTTTTTTATTGTTAAAATCTTATACTATTCAAAATTATTATGTATCACATGCACAATGTATTATTTTCATTATTATTTATTTGAAATCAATATTTCAAGGCGAGCGGCATGTTGCGTATCGAGTATAGTGTCCGATTTCTTATATATAAATATATTATTATTATTATTATTATTATTATTATCAGTATTGTCGAGACTGAAATTTGGTTATCGGAAATCGGCACATTATCGAATTAAGTTTAGACAATTTTTAGTTCTCTACGATCACTCGTCGTATACGAGTACGGAAAGCACTATTATATGTGCAAACGCGTCGTCCGTACTTTTATGTAATTTAATCAAAATTCACATTTATAATAAAATATTATCTCGGATACAGTCCATTCATACTAAACTCGCATTTATTTTATATTATTAAATTTCACAGCCCCCAAAACTTTGAAAAACTTGCTCTACAGTTTTATTCAATTCTGTCTGAAGAAGATTTTCCAAATGTTCGGAAGCTTATACCTAAGATATCTTTAATATTTGATTCAACATATTTTGTGAGCCAGTATTTCCAACGATGAAAATTATTAAAAGTAAAACTCGATCTCGCATTACAAATGAACATCTCTATGCCATAATTCTACAAAATTATAACCTAATATTAATGCCCTAAGTCAACAGAAACAAGCTCACAATTATTCATATTAACAAATTTCTTAATACATTTGAAAATATTTTTTTTAAATGTAAATTTTACACTGTAAAACGATAATTTATATAATTAATATTTATTTTTTCATTAGTAATTATAATTTAGTATAGATTAAAGAAAGCTATTAAGTTAATTTATTTAAAAATAATTATTGGAAGTGTAAACCGTTATTATTTTTTTCATTTGTTGTAATTATTAAGTTAAGTATTAAATAAAGCCATTAAATTTAGTAAGTACAATAAAAACGTCATTAAATATGTAATTATATACCCATACCTGAAATTCTAATTTCTAATGACAGTTTAAGGGAAAATTTCAAATTATAGGCCCGCCAAAAAAAATTATTTTTTTATGGCTGCAATAAAAAATGTTTGGGCACCACTGCTATAGAACGTATAGTAAGTTCAATGTTAAGTTGTATTATTGCCCTAGCAACCCAAAGTAAATATAGTACTAATATAATAATAATATTTCAATAGCTTATTTATTTTAATTTTTTGTTTTAACTGCTATCGCAAAAAAATTTATAGCTATAATTTTATTAATATTTTAATTGAAATCATTATTACTCAAGAAAACAAAAATATGCAAATTTACCAGCAGCCAAGAAGACGCCAAATTTATAGACCACTTACAAAAATATGCCCTAGTACGGTTGCGGAAGGCTGGGGAAGATCTACATATAGGTATAATCTGATAAACATAATTTTTTTATTTTTAATAAAGCTATTAAAATAATTTATTTTACTATTAATATTACAATTCTGGGTTAATTTAATAATTTTGTCGAAAGCTACTTTATTATATTATTTGAATAACTGTATATATTTATATAATTTATTATTATTATTATAAGTCAATATCTTGTTATAATAAAATAGTAAATAAATTTGTAGTCTATATAATTAATAACTATTAGTATTAGATAATCTAAATATTTTGAAAATATCATTATGCCATTGAACCTTATACGAACTACATTTTTTGATTGAATAAAAATTATTATTTATTAACATAAATAGAAAAAAGAAATAAAAACTCGAACATTTAATTTATCTACGTATACAGTGTGATCACGATTTAAGATAGGTACCACTAAATATTTCAGCTGGATGGGTGCTTTATTGAAGTGAATATTTTAGAGGGCCTAAATGTAACTTAAATATACATTTATTTACGATTTTCAATTTTTTACACTTTTAGTGCGCGTATGCGCTATAGAATTTACATTTTTTGAAATGGAAACACTGCTTTTTTACATATTTGCCATTTGGATAGATATTTTTAAACGTATTTTCTTTTGCTATTTACAAAACTGACCTAGTAAGAGAAGTCAACATTTGAGTTTATGCATAATTCGTGTAAAACGAAGTTTTAACTTAAAACCACTGGAAATAATTAAATAAACGCCAAATAAATCTTTAATTTACCTTATCTCTTTAAAAAAAATAATTTAATAATATTATACGATTACAATTTTAACTATTTTTAAATTGGAATTTTATTTTATTTATCAATAGTTCCAATAACGATAAGATAATCAGAAAATGTAATTATTAAGAAATAAATAACAATGAAATAAGTTTTAAGTAATCAAACATTATTTTTAGGGTACAAATTTTTATTTTATTGACTGTAATAATAAATTTACCTAACAAAATAATTACTCCCCTGCTAATAAATATAACATATTATAATAAATAAAATGTAGTAAATAAATTTATCTTACAAATTTTCAAAATTATCACTCTAATCAATTCTAAATATGATTCAAGTTGTCTTAAAAATTCAGTCGTAGTTGCCTTTAAAAACACAATCAACTAAATTTAATTTATCGCTTACTCGAGATATTCATTTAGATGACATACGAGTATGATATTATTAAATTATTATTTGTATAAAATATAAGATAAATTAAACATTTATTTGGAGTTTATTTTATAAAGGGGTATCATTTAAGATTTTTTTTTTGATACGTGAGATTTCAAGCAAACCATTTTGAAATTTTACCAGGCCATATAAAAATAGATAACGTATAAGTATGTCATTATCTTTTTAATATTTTCCATACATCGCACGGACCGAATCATTGCATCAATATAAAATAAATAGTAAAAATAAATTTAAAAACTAAAATATAATAAATAATTAACAATCATAATAATTGACAGTATACCAATATTGATAAATGTCAATATAAAAATTAAAATACAATTTAAAAGATTTAAGTTTTGAGCATTATCTTAGCAAGGCACAAATCTTTTGGGTAATTCTAAATTAATACTGTTTTAAAAGTAAAAGGGGCAACCGTACACCTTGATCCCCCCCTATTCAAATGACACCCATGATTTTATTATTTCCAGTTGTTTTAAGTGAAAATTTCGTTTTACACGAATTATGCATAAATTCAAATGTTGACTTCTCTTACTTGGTCAGATTTGTAAATATCAAAAGAAAATACGTTAAAAAATATCTATCCGAATATGTAAAATAAAATATAGTGTTTGCATTAAAAAAAATATAAGTTGTAATACGCATACGCACACCAAAAGTGTAAAAATTTCTAAAATCATAAATAAATGGGTATTTAAGTACATCCTAGGCCGTCTAAAATATTCACTTTGATATAAGGTCTTCCAGCTGAGATATTTAGTGGTACCTTAAATCGTGATCACACG